ATTACGATAACGATTTTATATGTATTACACTCACTGATAAGTTTACTTCTAATAATTTGTGTAATTTATTTTTTTAAGGAATTGAACTACAAATCTAATACTGTAAAAACATTAATATACTAGTATTGATTAGAAAAAGTAAATAATAATGTAAAGTATAACTGTTTGTATTGTAGGGGCTCTCATTAACAATGCCAGACAGCTGTCGTTTTCCCCGTCACACCAATTCCGCGCGTGACATTAATTTTTATGAGTCAAATAATTTTTTCCAGTGTAACGAGTGTACGGACTTCAATTACTCATCTCCAGATCCTAACCGTTAAAATCATATCTTTAGATATTCAAGTAACGGCGAAGATTGCTTCACGAGGACACGTGTGTCATTAATAGTTGTCCTCCATTGACCCAAGTTTTGTATTAGTCAACAGAATCCGACAATAACGCAAATAGTTTTCTTTCGTTTCTAATAAAAATTTCGAAACGAAATAAATTTGACATTTTTTTTGGAGAAATGATAAAAGGAATATTCGACTAAAATGATTATATGTAAACGGATAAAACAATGATGATGACCATGAAAAAGACATGGACCAGTATCTATTGTAAAGTAACAAATATGATTTAGTATCTTAATTCTTAAGTGATAAATAAATAACTTGACATCATCGACACAAAGAAAAATAATTTGACATCATGCATGCAATGCTTAAAAAGGTATGCCATGATTCGATCTCGAGTGGTTTTTTCTCGTTTTTGTTTTTTCTCTCAAACCTATCGTAAACTAAGGTTGTTGTAAAATATTATTGTTAACCAATTGGTGGTACCCTAATAAAAAAAAAGTTTAGGGAAAAGAGGTGAACCTTTTTAATCTTCATTTGATCAGTAGAAATTATGTTATACTTTAGGTTCATTAGAAAATTCGGTGAGCAGACTACTCGACGATTACACTCATCCTAAGAGATTAGTCGGGTGGTAAAAATCTGGACACCCCCCGATTATTAAAAAATAAAAAATTTTATTGTTGTTTTGAAGTAAATTTCTTGCAAGAGTAGAGAGAAATCAAATAGGTAATAGTATAGTGGTAACACAGAAGGGTGATAGTCTAGTGGTAACACAAGGAGGTTGGTTTTCTTATGCTCCACGTTCAAATAATATTTTTTTGGGACAGAGAATTATTCTTTAAATTGGAATATCAAAATATTGTCTTCGGATAACGACGAAATTATGAGCCAAAGGTTCGGAAATCTCATGCTTTATTAAAAAAAAAGATTAGAGAAAAAAATTATTAAGGCGAAGAGTCCTCATTTAGAGTTTTTTATGATATGTGTAAATAATGTTTGCAAATCATTATGATATCAAAACTCGATACAAGTAAATAGGAATATGAAAATATTTCTGTATAATCCTAAAATGTACCCTAATTGTTATAGTCACCTTTCAAGTTTTGTTTCATTTCTCATGCACCAATTGTTTTGGGTCCCCCTTAGCTCATGGCATTCTTCATACTCGCTAAAATAAACTCCAATACAGTCACCAAGAATAACAAATTGTTTTAAAAAAATAAAAAAATTGTTGTCATATATAATGTTTTGGAGCTAAGTTAACTAATCTCGACGATAAACTTGTTTTCTAGCTAATCGAACTCTGCATTTTGATACTCTTTATATTCCATTTAGTTTGGTGTTCCATTTATATATATAAAATCCATTTTATTAGATGTCTCATTGTTTCAATCAAACTGTTTTTTTCACAAACTTCTGATGGGACCGGTTCGTTTAAAGAAACTCAAACCAGCGTTTCTTATTTAATTAGTTAACTAGTGTATTACCCGCGTCTTATGCGAAATAGTTATATTGAAAAAAACTTTTAAAAATTTAAAAAACGCAAAAGTTATCCAAAAACATTTAGTTATCAAAAGGTAACCTAATACAACCAAATATGATTCAAAGAAAAAAGATGAGCTTATGTTGCATGGCAGAATTGAGAGTAGACTGTTCAATCAGGACCGTGCGAACAGTATTAACAAAAAGGCAACTGCCTAGGGCCCCACTAAATTAGAAAAATTTTAGGGCCCCATTTTAAAGATTTTTAATACGTAAATAGATATAAAATCTCTATTTCACCTATAGTTAGGCTAAATTTTAGGGTCCATTTTAAAAGTTGTTTCATCTTACATAATAATAGGCTGTTTTTCGTTTTATCTTTTGTTTAATTTTTTTTTTAAAATATTTTGTAACATAATTTCTTAACCCATTTAATTTTATTTTTTCCGTGTTACTAAATTAGTTTCTACCTTTACATTTAATCTACTCACATTAGCAAATATGATGAAGATCTACACAATCATATAATTAGTGTTTTAATATGAACTATTTATAATTATATCAATGATGGTTGTTGAATGCAGTGAGATTGCGGTGAAGATCGAAGTCTTTCTTTCACGCCAAATGGAGTAGTATGTTTTTGTGTTTGAGATCTAACATGATTGATCCAAGAAATTGCATCATGTAAATCCATTGGAGGATTAGACCAGATCTTTGAGGCAAAAGAACTCCAAATACTTACGGAGAATGCACACTCAAAGAAAAAATGGTCGTCTATCCACACTAAAAGCATCCGCGTCCCGTCCAAGCCCTTATCCGTCCTATCTCAGCCCTTACCTGCATCCCTTCCCAACCCTTACATGTCTTGCCCCTTCCCTTACCGGGGTCCTGTCCCATTCCTTACCCACCYGAGACTACAAAACCTTATATGGTGAACCGGGTATCACGTGATAGCATTCATGAGGGCTCATCATAGCAACAAAATACTTTAGATGCAATCATTGAGGTAGAGCTAAGTGCATCGCTTGGTGTTTCTAACTTACTTGGTAAACGTAGGTCAATATTGATATTCCTTTTACGTTTAGAGGCGACATGCACATGGACAAAAGTTCTTGATCAAATTCTTGGACTCATGCTACCATGGTTTTTGTCTCAGGTATGTAGGAAACTTATTGGTGTTATTACCTCTTAGTAGCTTAAGTTCCAATCTTTAAGCTATTTATTTTGTTAAATCGCAACATCATCCTGACTACATTTCTTCTCAACAATTTTGTATAACAAAATCCAGCAAAAATATTAAAATTCTCTCTTTCACCTTATCATCAAAGACCCCAAATTAAGTACTAACACTCCCCCGTTCTACTTTTCTATCCCAACCAAATATGACAATCCACAGAATCTCTGCAACTACCAATCCAATTGATGAAAAAAATCATTTGAACGTAGTATAAGAGAATCAAACATTTCGCTTACTCTTTTACGAAATCCAAAAACTCCATGGACTAAAAAACGCAAAACAAATCATTAACTTATATTGTCTTTACCTGATCAAAGCGAATGAGGATCTGAATGTTTAAATCCATATAGCATTATAAACAACGGAGTTCACTCATAACTTCTCTAACTAAGAAAGCTAGCTAGTATAATTAAGGGTCTTTTTGGTGAATAACC